GTGTCACTCTCTTGCCACGATCAAGCTGTCTTTTCACAGGCAGTCGCCTTGCATCTCTGCCCACTTAAATCTTCCTTTCAGGCTTCCCGGCACTGGAAGGGCTCACACCACTGCTCTGTAAGACCGCAGTTCACTGGCCAGCTCGTAGGGAAGGTGGTCAGCATCTCAGCAGGAAAGCCAGGGCTTTCACCACTGTTCTCACGCCTGGGAAGATCTGAGAAGAAGAGCGCTACTTCTGAGCACCTGTTTCATATCGGTACGACAGGACATGTGGGCTATAAAGGCAAACTGAACAAAGGTTGCGGGCAGAACTGCATGACAAAAGCAAGTCGCCCTGGATAAAGCATGCCGAGGCCCTCCTCAAGTTCATAAATAGCACAATATACAGACTGAATGTTCCTTACCCAATACGCTTGGAACAAGAAGTGTTTTAGATTTCAAAATTGTTTTTGGATTTGGGAATATGTGCATAGGCTTTATATAGATGGATTACATGGCTCAAGTGGATACTGACAATTTCCCAAACTGGTTGTACCACAGCAAACAAGGAGTGAGTTGCTTCACACAGTGTTTGCAGGATTTCAATTTAATCAGAATGTTGTGGCTGTAGGGGTATTATATTTCCTGCTGACTACAGAAATGAAGAAGCTTTTCACATGGTTATTGGCCATTTGGTTATCTTCCTTTGTGAAGAACCCAGTCAAGAGCTTTCCCATCTTTCTATTAGGATGTCTGTCATTTCTCATTGACTGTAACATATTTCTGGGCGTAAGTTTCTCTTAGGTTTTCCAAAGCCACGGGTTATCCACTGTTACTGGTGCCCATGTGATTTTTTTTTTTTTTTTTTTTTTTGAGACAGGGTCTCGCTATACAGTTCAGGCTGGCCTTGGGCTCACTTTGTAGGCAAGCTGGTCTCGAACTTGCAACGATCCTCCTCAACCTCCTGAGTGCTGGGATTACAGGCGTGTACCTAATTTTCTTAATTTTAATAAAACAAAATGCAATACATCTTTTCTTAATGCCACTGTTCTGTTAGTGTGCGAGACCATAAAGACATTCACTTACATCTTCTTCCAATTTTCTTCTTTGTTTTCTCTTTCACAACTAGATCTGCATTTGAAATTGACAGTTGTGTGATAAAGCCTAAGATAATTAATTATTTTTCCCTGTATCTAAATGAATCAATACTGTTCACTGAAATATATCATTTTCCTCTCTGAGTTATAATACCACTTTTGTTCCCAAACCAGCAGATCTGTTTCTGGCCTCTCTTCCACCTCAAGGGTGCATTTTCTGTCTTTATACCGCCGCAGTGCTATCACTGCCATGGCCCTCTAACACTCTGCAGTCAGAGCCTCCAACTCTGCTTTTCTTCAAGGTTGCCTTGAATTGCCATGTCACAAGGCTAAACATCCCTAACCTGAAAATCTGGAATCTGAAATGCTCTAAAATCCAAAAGTTTTTGAACACCAAGATGAGCCTAACTGGTGTTCTGTATAATTATTGTAAAATCCAAAAACTCTAAAATCTGAAATTCTTCTGATTCCAGGAATTTTGGATAAGAAATATTCAACCTCTATATGTTTCCATTTACTTGAGTCTTAATTTTCCTGAATATTTGGTGATTTCCTGTGCAATGTTCTGACATAACTGTCACTAAATTTTCCTTTAGATATTCCTCATTTCAAGGAGTAAGCTTTCAAGTTTTCATTAGAAAATAAAATTTTTGCTACAGGTGTTCTGTGGCTACTCTTCATCAGAACAAGCCAATGTACTTCCATTTTTGAGTTGCTAGGAAATTCTCACCATGAATGAATATTAAATTTTAGCAAGTGTTTCATTTCATTATCAAAATAATCATCACATTTTTAAATTTTTTATTAATTTGGGAAGGTTGCATCAGCTGTTTTGTGAATGTTTACAAACGTTATCTATGTTTGTAAGAAAAGGCTGTTTATGGTTTTCCTTTATTATGCTGTCCTAAACAGGTCTGATCCAAAGATTATGCTGGTCTTATAAAAGAATTTAAATTTTCTTGATGATTCCACTCTCTGGAAGAACTTACATAAGATTATATTTAAAAATTTACCAGTAAAGCTGTATCTGCCTTGGATTTGCTTTGTATTCAGGTAACTGAAAATAGATTTAATTCCTTAAATAAGAAATTCCTGCAAGGTCGTGAGTTCGATTCCTGGTACTGGAAGAAAAACAAAACAAAACAAAACAAAACAAAGAAACGCCCCCTGGATAGAGTATGCCATCTTAAACAGGTAATAAAAATTCAGGTTTCCTCATTCTCCTGTACCAATTTTAAATAATTTATATTTTTTTGAAGTTTGTCCAATTTATTGAGTATTTATAAAACTAAGTTTAACCCATTTATTTTTAATTAATTATATTTTTGAATTTGTATTTATGATCTATTTGTTTTCTATTTACTCACCTGTTTTTGCATATGTTCTTTTCTTTCTCCTGAATGAATTATTTTTAGGAATTTATGGTTTTCTTGTTAGGTATGTATCCTTCCACTGTACTTCAGTTGTAGCACTAGGGATTATAACACACAACTTTGACTGTACACCTACGAAAATGTTACAGTTCAACAGTGATCCCTAGAATAGCAGACAGCTGCGCTCTTATCACTACATATACTTTTTTGTTGGTTCTACAAAGTTCATTGGACACACTTCTAATTCTGTAACTTACCAGGGCAACATTCAAAACCTCTGCTGCTTTCTTGGCCCCCACACAATGCACCAAGGCTGAGCAAAAGCATGAACCCCTCAGCTGTTCTAGAGTAATTTTACTGTGTACCGTTCACTAATACATGTATTTAATAAATTATTTTCAACTGTCATAGGCTTTTTTGTTAGACATTCCAAAAGACACACATTGGTGTTGAGCTGACACATAGTAAGTAAAATAAAGACATCCAATTTTGTGCTAAGACAAAAGCAACTAATAAAACACAGCTAACTAAAAAAGACTGTAAAGATAAATTTTGATTGTTATAAAATTCATAAAGATAAAGAACAAACGCTAAACCCTGTTGCTCCCCTCAAAAAGAAGCCCTTTCTCATTTGTAATGTGGATGTTTGGCTATAGGGCTCTTTTCTCTCACATCATCTCTAAATTCTAGGGAAAAAGCTAAGCTCTAAGTTTCTTTTTTCCTTTGATACGTGAACAGAAGATGGGCCCCAGTCGGCAATGAGGGAAGTCACAAGGAGACCCAAAGTAGTCAAGAAATGACAAGCTGGCTGGCTGGCTTTCATGATGAAAGCATCCTAACAGAAAACTGAAAAATGGATGCTAACAAATCAGCGATCTGATACATTACTGTCCCAATTCAGCAGAGGGCTGTGCACTCCTCTTTCGTCTTCTCTCAGAGCACAGAGCTCTGAGGAGGCTGGATCTACATTCTAGGGCCAGAGAAAGATGTATGCCACAGAGCTGATAAAGGAGGACAAAAGCAAACTGATACAGAAATTAATATAAATAATTTCCTCCTTTTTTCTCCCTCTGCCCCTCCTCTCTTTGCTTTCATGGTTAAAAACTTGGCGTGCTGTTACATTTATTTTATTGCAAGTTGCTAGAAATCCTTTGTGAATGTAGAGGTAAATAAATATGTAAATAAAGTGAAGTGTTTGGCCTAACCACATATCAGAACACACACCATGCTACGGAAAAACATTATATTCCCACGCAGCAGCCCCGTCCATACTAAAAATACAAACCCAAGTGGAAAATCCAGGCTGCAAAAAATGTCAGGTCCAATTGAACCATAATTTATAACACTGGGTTATCTGGTTAAAAAAAACCAAAAACTCAGTGTCTAGTTTGTTTTAGAAATTCTTACAAAAGGCATTAAATTATCTTTTGCAGTTATAAATAACTCAATATGGACTACTGCTCTTAATGATGGTAACTTCAAATCTATGGGCTTAGGATACTGTTGAAAACATCTGCAGCCATGTCAAATGGTTTGATGGTATGAAGTGAATCTCCAACACATTCACCATGACAAGTCCTCACTCTTCTACTAAATTATCCAACGATCTTCACATAAAAATACCCTCTGCTGCACTTTTATAGCAGGAGTATCTACAGATTATTTTCACATAACTAACCTAATAAAAAGCCGATAAAAGCTACGAGAATGCCAAAGCTCAGCAAAATAAAAAATGTAAAATACTCTAGTGCTGATTTACTACAATAGTAAATCCATAAAAAATACAGTATATGAAATCATTACCTGGACTTCAGTAGATAAGACCATCATAGAAGAAGTCTAATCTTTATTAAGTACCCATACGAGAACAGATGCGCTTTGAATTATCTAGGCCTTAATATGAAAGATGTAATTTATAGATAAATATGTGAGAACTAAACTAGATTCTTGAGAAAAGATTATGAGAATTCTATTCATACCAAGAATAAGATCAATCTAATCAGGACAAAGATCAAGAGACTACTGAGAAACTATTAATCAGAACAGCCAGAATCCCACAACATAATACTGTGTGATCTATACTATTAAGGTTGTAAAAAGAGGGCTATACTTTAAGGGACAATCGTTCCTCACTTGTGGAAAGAAGATGAATGAAAACTCAGCCAAACCCTTCATCTAACTAAATTACACCTCGCTGACCGAACCATAACCAACAAGCTAAAAACACAGGCGTCTGCAACGTCCCTGCCGCGCTCCCTTACTCCGCTCCACCACTCACAGAGCCCGATGGAGCTGCCGGCACGAAAGGGGTTCTGCAATATTCTAGATATAGAAAATGATGGCAGGGAAAAGACCCTGTAACGTGATCTGAGTCCTTAAATATTAAGCTGATTATACAACAGCCATTTCTTTCACAACGCAAATTTCAAACCTTCAGATCAACTGGAAATGCTCACACAGCTCATAATTTCCCAACAATTCTTCACAAATATCCAACAGATTTGGCTCAAGGTCCTGAGGAAATGACAGTCTATCAGTAATCTATTTATACCTTGCAAACTGTATCCACATCCCAGGGTATTATAGTCCTTAGGTCGATGACTTCACAGGACACTCCAAGCTTTTCTCTTGCCATAGAAGCTACTTCCCGGATCACGTGAACCTAAGAAGCACAGAAAAATATTCAAGGATTGACTAGAAAGACTGCCTGAGAAAACTAGTTAAAAGCTGACAATATTTACAGAGATATTATGTATAGTCAACAGAATAGGTCCATATAAAGATTTCATAAATTTTATATATGTTAAATCCATAGTCTATCAAAATAATCAAATATAAATGTCTAAAAAACAGATTCTTAAAAGGAATGAAGTAGGTGCTGAAGATTCTGATTCCAAGGGTAACACATGGTAGATAAAGTCATAAGTAGCATGTAACACACCACATAAGGAAAGCACCCAGAGGAAGAAATACAGGGCAAACACCACGGAATCCCACAGCTCACCAACATTTAAGAGAAAAACAGCAATCACAGAAGCTCACTAAAAGTAAAACAATGCAAAACAAAACACAGCTAAAGAGATAAGAAAAAAATTAAGAAATCAACAACTGGAGACACAATATCCCAGAAGCTAAAGAAAAAATCCATTTCATAAAGATAGCAGCCAATGTCATACAAAATAACAGTATGGGATAAGGTTTAGATTTAACAATTACAATACTAGATTACTAAAAGCAAGTTTAGTAAATTAATGGATACAAAAGTTGTAAGGCATCAGAATGTAAAGAAATTAAGTAATTAAATAGATAGTATAATATAGCTCTGCAAGTTTAATGGTAAGAGTCACGCATGGTAGCATACGCCTATAATCCCAGCTGCTATGGAGTCTGAGGTAGAACAATCACAAGTTGGCCAGCCTGGGTAACTTAGTGAGACCATGTCTCAAAATTTTTTAAAAAGGAGGCTGGGACTAATACAGAAGTACTAGTAGAGAATAGCACAGAAGTTCGTCAAAAAACTAAAAACAGATGTACCATATCACTCAGCTATAGTGCTTTTGGGGACTAAAGTCAGCATACACAGGGATACTTGCACACTCCTGTTTATTGTGGCAAAATTTATAAGAACTATGGAACCAGAACCGGGGCCCAAAGCCCAGTGAACAGATACACAACACGTGGGTATCTACATAAATAGTGTGTTATCCAGCCATAAAAACCCAAAACCTTGTCATCTGCAGGAAAACAGATGGAACTGGAGATCACTATGGTAAGTGAGATAAGCTATACTCAGGAAGACGAGTATCACACGCTTCCCAAGATGGAAACTTAAAAAAAAGATGGCATGAACATTAGAAAGGAGATGAATATTCCACAAGAAGAAGGGAATAGGGGATGTAAAGGAGGGTAACGGTGGATGACATCATCTGAATATGTCACATGCACAGACAAAACTAACACACTGAAAAATTAACAGGCACTCATAAAATGTATTACAATGGAATAAGATACAATAAAATAAAAAACGGGAAGGGGAAGGGAAGCTTGGGCTCAGTGGAACAGTACTTGCCTAAAATATATAAGGCCCCACATTTGACCCTGAATACCACAAAAAAAAAAGCTTAGTGATAAAAGAAAGGAGGAAGACAATGGTACTTAAAGGGAAAGGCACTCTCAGATATGAAGACAAGACACAAAACTTTTTAATACAGCAACACAGAAAGGAAAACCTAAGGATCCAGGAGGGTGAGGGATTAGCTGTTTATCACAGTCCTAGAGGAAGGAAAATGGGATGCACTCTGACAGACTTGCAGGGGCAGCTACAAAAGGAAAAGGGGCCTTTTCTTCAAAGACAAAAGGAAGAAGGCAAAGATTAGCACCCATGTGGGGGGTGTGAACGGAGAGCAAGCGTGGGAGTTAGGGCTGGATGCTTGCTCACTTTCCCACAAAGAAGAGAAGCACGGCGACAGGATGGGCGGAGGACAAAATGCTTCCTCCTCGGTGGGCTGTGACTCACCAAGCGGCATGGTGACCCTACTGCAGGTGAGGACCCGAAGGGCTGCAGCTCTCCATGCCAACAACCAAGCAGAGAGAGTAGGAGCTTGGGACACTGCAAAAAGCTTTGTAATTATCTTTCTATTTAGTGTTGTCTTTAATTTTCTAAAAATAAGCACATACTATGCTGCCCTGGATTTCCTAAAACAAAGTATTTCTTTTACAGAGAAAATGTGACCATTTCTTCAAAAGAGGAAGGGTGAAAGGGAGGGAGGGAGAGACAGAAGGAGGGAGGGAGGGACAGATGGACATACACAGAGACGGGCAGAGTCTATGGCAAGAGAAAAAGTCTTGCACTTAAAGTTTGGAGGTAGGGAAATGTGACAACAAGACATAGAAAAAGCTGGGGTGGGTCAGCGAAGAAGAACCCTGGAAAAGAGAAAAGTATGGAACTGCGAGGCCGGGGCACGGGGCGAGGCCAGCAAAGAGCTCACACGAGATGACAGGAAAGGGAGCAAAACGATCCCAAGTCAAGTGCAGCAACAGGAATGTGGCTATGCAGTATGCACCAAAAGTGTTTTAAATCAATATATTTTTGTAAACTTCCACCATACTTTATCATAGGCTTATATATTTTAGTACAACAGAATTGGCACATCACCTTCCCTCAAATCAATACCACAAACTTTAGGTTACAAATACATTCTGAGAATAGTGACTACAGCTCAGATGTTGAGTACTTGAAATTTACTACTGGAGAATACATACATCTAAAGTGTTCTCACCACACACATACATACATAGTGTTGAATGTGTCACCGACTTGGCAGTTATAATCACTTCACAACGTACACATATAGCAAATTACTGAACACCTTGAAAACACATATATATTTGCAATTACACCTTAACAAAATTAGAGAAAAAAGAAATCAGCATCAGTAGCAACAAACACTCTTAATTGAAGATATAATGAAAGCATCATTTTCAATTCTCCACGTATTAGGATTTAAAGAAAAGGGCTTCCAGGCACAACGTGGGCTTTAAGAGTTGGAATCACTGGTACTAACCTGAGTGCCCCAGGCAACCAGAGTGATATCACTGCCTTCCTGTATGACTTCAGCCTGGGACAGTGGAATATTGTATGGTTCTACAGGAACCTGCTCCACTAAATATAGAAGGGGGCAGAAAGATAAAAGGTTAATTTTTTATGTGACATTGTGGATAAAAGAATGCAAGAACCTTCTTGCAACAAAGCCTTATCTCTACTTTTTCTTTTCCCAAATCTCTAAGTAATTTAAATTAGAAATAGCACTACATGGCTCTATGACACTATATTCAGGTGAACAAATACAATACACATGTATAAAATATATCAGCTATGCTGCAACAGAAAGTCTTTAGTTAGAAACTAAGGACATTTATGAATAAAGTATGGACTTTAGTCAATAACAATATCTCAGTATTGGTTTATTAACTGTACTAATTGTATCACACTAATGTAAGACATTAATAATAGAAGAAACTGTATGTGTCATATATGGGAATTCTCTACAGTATCTTTATATTTTTTGTAAATCTAAAAACATTTTTTAAAAAGTTCAAAACATTGTTACCATATCTGCTAAAACTTTATTTGGAATGAATTAACTTTTTAGACCGAATTTCCATCAAGCAGTAATTACATAGTGGTTTGAAAAGCAGGGGAAACACACACAGTAGGCCCACATTTTTAACTATATTTTACTCTCGCTCCTTGCATCTATGAATATTTCACAAACTGTAACAGCAGAACACTTTCATTTTCAAAGCCACCTAAGGTAGACCTCGAAAAGATAAATTCAATCAGCTCCACCAAGCTGGAAAAACAAGCCGGTGGTATCCCAACAACAACCATGTCTGCTGTCCAAGTCCACTCAATATGGGGTCAAGTGAATCAGAAGAAACTATAAAGAGAATTTTTAAAACAAAATTGATTAGGAAAGTGGCCAGTTTGGGAAACTTTCTTGAGTTCACCTGAGAGGAACAGAATAGCACAAGAGCTGAGTGAAACTGTTACTCCCTTTTTTGCATTTTCCCAACAGTCTTTTTAATTCAAAGAGCACAGAAGAGTGAAATGGAAGCAAAGGCCCCCTTCTGCTCCCCAGTCCTTGCAACTTTGCTGTCCAGAAAGAATTCATCGTAACAGTGTCCTGAGTGTCCACAGTGCACTGCTGTCAGTCTTTCCGGCAGTCAGGCTTTGAATCCTCTTCCTACACTCGCCGAAACACCCTCACAAGGCAGGGCCCCTCCTTCACTACAGAAGTGAGTTCCGCATACTCACTTTCTAAGCTTCCCTTGAGTCTGGGTTACAAGAACAAGCTGTCAATCAAATGCACCTATGGCAGACTCTGAATTAGAAGCTCAAGACATGAAGAAGCAGTAATGGTCCAGAACCCGTTCCAGAGCACTAGAAATGGTGAGGAAAACCCAGAATCCAGGCCCCTGGCCACAACGACTCAGACCGCATGCAGTGCCCACTGGCAGCTGCTGGGGCATCTTTGCAGCACCAGTGACTTTGAGCATTGTTTGAAACCTGGCTCTCAGGCACTCCAGAGATCTGTAAGCTTTTTATTATCCTTCAATAAATATTTTCTGCTCATGCTGAGTTGAATTGATTTCATCTGTTTGAAAACTAAGAAGTCTGACCAATGGTATACTTTTAGATACTTACAACATGCAAGCAGACATACATATATACATAGGCCTATCCTGCTTTATCCTTTTACAAATAGAATCACATTGTACAAGCTACTTAGAAGCTTTAAAATTCAATTCTTTTTCATTTAGCAATGTCTTGGCCATGTTTCCATGTGAAAATATAGTTTTTTTTTTTTAACTTCTAAGTAAAAACTACTAAATCTAATGGTATTCTCAGTGATGTATCAGTGATGAACCCATGATGAATTTTATTATTTGTTTGGCGTGTGTGCTATGCATGCATAAACTGAATTCAAATGAGCAACATGTTTAAATAAAAGACAAACGGTAATATCTTTTGTAGATAACTCTCAAAGGCAGATGATAATTCAGCTAACAAACCTAACACATAAGCAATGGTAGAATACTTACAAGCATTAAAACATTTTTTCATCTTTTTTAATTTTTATTTTAAAGAGAGTAGTAAATGAGAAACAAATAAACAAAAAATAGAACAGTAGCAGCATACCAGTATCACAAACATAAACAAATCAAAGCAAGAACATTGAAAGTGACACAGGGTTTCAGGACAAAATAATACGAATTAACAGTGGTTGTTATATTACATATCGCTATCCTCAACTACTTTTGCTCAGATTACCAGATGTAAGAATGGGAGATTGCTCAAACAATTAAAGAGAATAAGAAAATAATTATTAGATAAAACCTCAGAGATAATACAGAGTTTCACTAGACAAGATGGTAGGAGTTCACCATTGTAATTCCACTGCATGTTGTTACCTTCAAATCAGTTGCTCAGATTTCCAGACATAAGCATTCAAAATCGATCAGGACATAACAGATTGTAAGCATTAACTGCTCATTTCAATGCACCATTAGACACCAGCAATACAGTTATTGCAGCTATTCATATATATTTTTATATTTTGCCTTCCTTCTTTCTCTTTTCTTCTTTCCCTCATCCCAGTCGTTCCTTCCTTTGAGCAATTTCTTTCCCTTTCCTATCATCTATTGTGCATTTTGAGTTTTACCTAGTCTTTCAAGTTCCTACACCAAGGAGACAATATGATGTTTACACACCTGGGTCCGACTGATTTCACTTATGAGTGTGCACCCATGTTTATAGCAGCACAATTTGTTATAGTGAAATCTTGGAAACAACCCAAATGCCCATCCACTGAGGAATGGATAAAAGAAGATGTGGTATTTTTATACAACGGAGTATTACTCAGCTGTAAAAAAAGGCAAACTCAGGGCTTTTGTAGGTAAATGAATGGAAGCATTAAAACATTTATAAAGTTACTGCATAGAATACAAACTATGCTGAGTTAGAGTTTTACACTGTCTGAGCCACATTTTACAAGTCAATTTCCTTGAATCACAGCACACCATTTATTTATAGATCAACTACCACTGTTTTTGCCTAGTTCAGCAGAGGTGGCTAGTTGGAAGGAGACAGAATACCCTACAAATGTTTACCATGTGCCAGTCCTAATTGTAAAGTATGCTTTCAGAGATTAATTCTGCCCCATTCTAAACCTAGTGTTGGATGGATGGATGGATGGATGGACGGACGGACAAATGAATGGACAGGTGGATAAATGCAAAGACAAGGTGTCAGACATACTCAAGTAGAGAGGTGTAGTCTACTTAGCAATTAACCCGCATGAAGGTGAAAAATAATGCTGATAGTATGTGACCAAAGGTAGCACACAGGTACTTTGCTACAATCAAAGCAGCAAGATCTACATGGCAGTAGGTAAGTTCTGAAGCTAGTACATACTTCGTCATGCTTATGAAGTGGCTACCACTCATAAATCCAGGTTTTTCTGCCTTATAAATCAGATGGCAGCTGATGATTAGCAAATCTCTGGAACACAAACTCTAAGGGCTGCCACACCAAAAAAATTTGATTCTTCTCTTGGCCCACTGCCTTTGAAATGCTGCCAATGAGTGACCATTTTGTTGTCTAAAGTAAATTACCGAGAAAAATAAGTCCTCATTATTTTAACAATCAAGGAACAGCGTAACAAACAATGCTTTATTCTCTATTTTAAAAATACCATGGAGAGAATTAGATCAAGAGTCTTTCAGTAAGAACAACCAAAAAATCTGTATGTAGATTTACATTAGTTTAACCCTGAGAGCAGGAAAATAAGAATATAATTTTAATATGTTCATTTATTTAGACTTGGTAAATAAGTCACTGGAAGGCTAGTTAAAATTCACAGGTATATTGTAGTTACATTTATTTTAAAGTAAAGGTCATTATTTCAAGAAAACGTTATTTATTTCAAGCTAGCATTCTAGTACCCCTAACCCATGGCTATGTGCTTTTTAAAAGACACAGTAAATAGGAGTCAGAGCACAAGTTTTAAAGAGCTAAAGAGCACCATACACAGGGCCTGGAATATAGCTCAGTGGCACAAGCGCCTGGCTGGCAAAAGCAAGGTCCTGAGTTCAATTCCTGGTACAAAAAAAAACAAAAACAAAAACAAAAACCACTACACATGGACGCTTACAGATTTCTATGTTCAGAGCATTGGAACTGACCCCATTCTATTTCACCAGATGCTGATTACATTCAAAGCTTTGTACTAATGAACACTCCACAGAGAAATCCTGAAGTGCAAAATACACACAGTATTGATGAAATGCACAACTTAGAAAAAAACAGAAATCTATTCTAGGCCAAAATATAAAACCTAAAATAATCTGAGGGGACAGATTTTTAAATGAACATTACAGAATTTCTACACATTTGTTTTCCCATAGATATAAATGCTTCCATATGCATATTGCAAATTCAATTACAGATTCAAGGCATGAATTTGTGTATGTTGGCCATTTTAATTTCCATTCTCCCCCTTTCTTCTTCCAATATTCTTTCAAGAAGCCACCTTAAACACCTCTGTGAGAGAGACGGTGTACAAATAACATAATCATACATATTAATAATGTAATTTACTCATTTAATGGGGAGGGTAAACCCAAAATATCCGTTTATCACATGGATGCTGGGCGGAAACCGAACAGGGAAATCCACGCTACTGAGAAGCACAGACCTGACCCGGAGCTATAAAGATGGAATGAGATCATTAACGAACCAATAAAAACATTCTATCAGCAACAAGAACAGCGCGCTTCGGGAATAGAGAGAGACAACGAGCTGTGCGGAAGTTTCCCCAGAAAAGGGTGCGAGGGATAGAGGCCTAAGGAAACAAAGACACCTCACATGACAGGACGTAGGGGAAACACGCACAAAAGACAGACAGACGCAAAGGAACAGACGTGTGCAAGTACGTGCGTGCTTTGGACACCTAAGAAAACACAGGCTGACGTGTTTCAGGTAAAGATACACGCTGAGCCTTACAAATTACATTCCTCCAGCCCTCGAAAGCACTTTCCAATTCTCTCTGATTTGATATATTAATAAATGCTAGGGAAAGCCTCTGTAAGCGATTACCA